CCTCCTCCTCGTTCTCCTCCTCCTCCTCCTCCTCCTCCTCCTCTCCTCCTCCTCCTCCTTGTCCTCCTCCTCCCTGTCGTTCTTCTCCTCCTCCTCCTCCTCCTCCTCCTCCTCCTCCGCCTCCTCCTCCTGCTCCTCTTCATCCTCCTCCCTGCCCTCCTTATCCTCCTCCCTCCTCCCTTCTCCGCGCTCTTCGCTGGTTCCACGCCCTCGACAGGTACTCCGCACGACGTCTACCAGCCGCGGGGGGATTGGGGGGACAAAACAAACGCCTGCCTCCCTCCTCTCCGGCGGGGTTCCAGCGCGGGGACTGGGTGGGAAAAGGGAGTCTGTAGCCGCCGCCCACGATTGAGAAATTAGGACTGGGAGGTGTTTCTAAGGATCGGGGCGATGCCGGTTTCCAAGGTGACGTTCAATCACAGTTACATGGACCGCTCTGGTGCGTCATTGTGCGTACGCGTCGCAACAGATGCCGCCCGATGTCCGCGGGGTGGGAACGGAGAGGATCGAGGAGGGGGACAGACGATGTGGAAAATAAGGGTACCCATCGGTCGTTGAAAGTAGGTATTTTTGGAGCCCCATATTCCAATCTACTTTAAGCGCCTTCCTATTTCAATGATCGAGTGGCTTCCCTTCTCCCCTCCTCTTCAGGGGGCGGGCGGAGACCCAATCTATTTCCAACGCCTTTTTACTTCATGTGTCTACCTACTCCAACCGATGGGTAGTCCTGAACACCGAATTTTACCCTAAGCGCGTAGAAGGCCACGTGGGCCTGCACGGCGTGAAGGCCAATCAGATCTCTGGGGTCTTTGAGAGCTCCCTCTCTTAGGGCCTCTCGTGCGCTTCTTGGGGCCTCTACTCTGGATGAGGCAATAATCGCCCCCCCCCCCCCCCCTTGGATCCGCTGGGGGGGTTGGGCACGTGCTGTTGGAACGGATGGGGGGGGGGAAGGAGGAGGAGGAGGAGGAAAGGAGGAGGGGGAGGAGGAGGAGGAGAGGAGGAGGAGGGGGGGAGGGGATGGGTAAGCTCCGTCGGAAGATTAGTCGCCCATCCCTCGATTGATATCCCACCCAGGCTAGGCGGCTCCCGTGGGGCGCTTTGTGCCCTTTAATCGCAATACTCGAAGCCTCGCGGGCAAGATGCGGCACCCAAAGCGTCTGGCATCAGCCAGTGGAGACGTACACTAGTCGAAAGTCGGAGCCGCGGTTGACACTCAACGGCTCTGATCGTGGACATGAAGAAACACATTCACACATAAGACACAATATTGGACAGAGTGCAAGGAGGATCAGGAGCAGATGGTATGTTTTTGTTTGGGGGTGAGAGTGTGAGAGAGAGAGAGAGAGAGAGAAAAAAAAAAAAAACAGAGAAAGAGAGAGAGAGAGAGAGGGAGCGAGAGAAAGAGAGAGAGAGAGAACAAAAGACAAAGAGATAGAGGTGGTGAGGGAGGGAGGGAGGGCGAGGGAGAGACAGAGAGAGAGAGAGAGAGAGAGCGAGAGAAAGAGAGAGAGAGACACACACACACACACACACCGACATCGGACGCGCTACGATCGCCGCGCACCCAGCTCTTCTGCAAGCCAGGAGCGAAACAAGTGAAACAGGAGCCCGCAGCGCTCCCGGCGCGTGACCGACGGAGGCATATGCACGACAGGTGTCGTCGCTGTCGCTGCCCATCCTTCCGCCCCGGCCGAGGGGGTCGTCCTTGCCGTGGGCGGCGAGGTTCCCGCCCCAGGCAGCGACGAGAACGTCGCTGGTAGGTTCCACAGGGGGGCCGTGAGGCCTGCGCCAGCGCCGGGATACTTTCCCGCGCGGCCGGCCTGTGCTAGGGGAGCCGCAGCGCCAGCGTCAGCGCCGTCAGCGTCGTCGTCGTCGTCGTTGTCGTCGTTCTGATCCAAGTTGCCTCCGAGGTTGAACGGATCCTCGTCGTCCACGTCGGGTCATGTCGTCGGCGGTGCCGTCGGGGGGCTGCGGTGGTGGCGCGCCGGCCAGAGGCAGGGCGCCGCAATGGTCGGGGTGAGGGCCTGTACGTTTGAGCTTGTGCTCCGTCAAGCCCGTCCGTTTGCGTGGGAGGGGCAGGGTGTTGTGTCTTTGGTCATATAAACATGGCCACGGCCACGCTGCGAGACGACGGCAAGCCCATGCCTGGTTTTCGCTGCCTCCACGACGCCCTGTGGAATATGGTCCACGGCGTCGGTGGCGCGGTCGTCGGCGCGCCCATTGAAGTCTTCGGCGGCGGTAGTGATGCGGCCAGCTGCCACTCCCTCTTCGCCGAGGTGGCCGGCAATTTTTCCACGCGGGAAATGTCGGATTTGGCTTGAAGTACGTGGTATACACGGGCCCACATCGGCCGGGTTCCCCTGCCTCGGCGGTGGTGCTCCGTTGGGGAGCCCGTGGAGCCCGTCAACGGCCTGGTTGTCGACAAAGACGTGTAAGGATCTTTCGGCGGTAGTCACCAGGTGGAGCAGCGCCAGCGTCTCAGCACGCTGCGCCGTCTGGGAGAGGCCGTGGACGGAGGCCGAGTAGTTGAGCCGGTGCGTCGTCCCTTGGAAAATGCCGCAGGCGGCGCGGGCGAGGAGGTGATGGGCTTGGTGGGAACAAGCCCCTGTCGGTAGCCGCGTAGACCCACCCCGTGCTGGTGACCAGGTCGCTGTGCTGTTGGTGCAGGTCTGGGTCGTCGCCCTCTTGGGCTGGCATGCCGATGGGCTGCGGCGGGGGGTCCCTCGACAGTTCGGCCAGGAGGCAGGACAGGCGCGGGTGCTCTTCGAAGATGCCTCAGTGGCGAGCGCGTGGGGGCAGCGCGCCCCACTGTTCATCAGCAGGCATGAGCGTGAGGGGGCGGCGCTGGTGGGCCCCGCAACGACAGCGCCAGGCACTGTGGTCCTGCGTCTCCATTCCTTTTCCTCATCAAGAACTTCTCCCTGTCGCACCCCGAGGCCAGTTTTTGGGGCGGGGTGGGCTCTTCGCTTAAAACTCTTCACCATTTATGATTCTGAAGCTCAAAGGTTGGCAACAGCTTCGCAGATAGAGGGCAGCTGGTTTTCAACATGTGGCTCTCGCCTTAGCGCCGCGCGCATTCGTATACAAAAATACAAAAGTTTAGCAGATTGAGGGCGGGCCGTTTTCAAAATAGCTCTCGCCTTAGCGCCGCGCGCACTCGCTTTAAACATTTGCATAAGTTTCACAGATTGAGGGCTGGTGGTTTTCAAGATGTGGCTCTCGCCTTAGCGCCGCGCACACTCCTTTTAAAACTTACCAGAGCTTCACGGATTGAGGGTGGGTGGTTGTCAAAATGTGGCTCTCGCCTTAGCGCCGCGCAAATTCGTTTTTAAACATGTGTAAGAGATTCACGGATTGAGGGCGGGCGGTTGTCAAAACGTGGCTCTCGCCTTCGCGCCGTGCGCATTCGTACACAAAAACGATTGCAAGAGCTTCACGGGCTTCCATGATCAACATACGAAAAAACTCTGTTCCGGAGAGATTCAGCACTATGTGGGCGCAGCCGTTACGTTGATTCGCGGTGTTGAAGTCCCAGGAACGGCGTTCTGGCACGATTCAGGATCGTCAGGACGCAACAGTCAGGTTGATCCGTGGCGTTGGAGTCCCGAGAATAATGTTTACCATGCTTCTGGGTCTTGAAGTGGTTATCGTCCAACGAGGCAGTTCCCTCAGTGGAAATGAATCGTTGTATGGGGCCTATGAAGAGGGAGTTTGTAGGGAGTTTGTTTTCCAACGTCGTTGGTGACTCTTGGGTTCGCACTGGTCCTCGTCATCCTCCTCCTTCTCCTCCTCCTCCTCCTCCTCCTTCTCCTTCTCCTCCTCCTCGCAGTAGCGGCAGAGAGGAAATTGTCATCCGAGGCGCCTACCCTGACAGCGCGCTGTTGGGTGTGGTCTCTAGCGCAGAGTTAGTTGAACAGGAGGCCTCGCGGCCACGGGGCGCAGCAGGCCTTTCCCATGGTGCGGGACAGCCATGTCGTGGCGTACTTTGTGTCCCTCAATATTTCTGGGGGTGCCTGTAGTCCGGGGAGGGTACCTGTAGTCCGGGGGAGGGTGACCTGTCTGGGGGCTGGGGGGTGTACCAGTAGTCCGGGGTGGGGTACTTGTAGTCCGGGGGAAGGGTACCTGCAGCTGCAGGTCTGGGGGGGCACCGGGGGCACCCGCCCAGACTAGGGTACTTGTAGTACGGGGGCACCCCCCCGGACTGGTCCCGGGGGGGTGCCCGTAGTCTGGGGTGGAACGCGTGTTCACGCGTCAACGCACGCGTGGATGTAGTCCTGGGGGGGTACCTGTAGTCCAGGGGGGGTACCTGTAGTCCGTGGGGGGTACCTGTAGTCCGAGGGGGTGGTACCTGTAGTCCGGGGGAGGGATGCCTGTAGTCCGGGAGAGGGTACTTGTAGTCCGGGGGGCACCTGACTGTAGTCCAGAGACCCAGAACTATTGAGGGACACAGAGTACATGTCGTCCCCCTGCAGCATTGGCGCAGGGAGCCGAGATCCTGGATCCGGGGACGCGTCTCACAAGGGCACGTCCCAGGGACGCTCCGAGCATGTGTGTGGCGGCGCCAGCAGGGTCGTCGAACCAGGAGATCTGTGCACCCCAGCCGTGGAGAGAAAGAGAGAGAGAGAGAGAGATGGAGATCGAGAGAGAGAGAGAACAAACAAACCACGCACTTAGAGTGAGAGAGCGAGAGACCGAGGGGCAGAAGGAGTGGGAGAGTTCAGAGGCTGATAGGGGGATGTTTTGCAATATATATATATATATATATGTGTTGAGATAGATGTCTTGGGGCCCTCTTGGCGATTTTGGATGTTCGAGCCGTTCTTTCCAAACGGGGTTCGGCGAGGTCCACGCACGCAGGTCACCCCTAGGGTCGGCGGTTGTCTGAACATGTGCCAGATCACGGGTTCATTGTAGCATGAGCGCGGGATGAACAACGGGGGAGAGAGAGGGAGAGAGAGAGAGAGAGAGAGAGATGGGGAAGGGAGGGCTTGCTTGTCGAGGCACTGCTACAGACCCTGGCAACGGGCCTGCACGTTTCAGCGAGTACGAGAAGAGCAAGAAAGGCATGACTGTATTCCTCTTTCTCTTGGACTTTTGATGTTTTTTTGCTCTTGCGCCTCATGAATCCAATGCCTCCCCCTTCTCCCTCTTGTCTCTTGTCATCTCTTGTTTCTCGTTCGATTCTCTCAGCCATGCTCTAGCGCCTTACGTACGCCGCGGTTCGAGATTGTGTGGGCAAGATTTCACAGCACCCTTGCAGAGCACCCTCATGCCGTGAAGAACCGCATTCAGCCTATGAGGACCGCCCGATGCATCACCTGCCCAGATTCGGGCACGGACTGAGGCTCAGATTTTGGACTCGGACGCGTGTTCGGTTTCGGATCTGGTCCTGACTCACTTCTGGATTCAGGTGGAAGCACCTAGTTAAAAGATGGTAGACGAATCACCTGGGTGTCGCAATCACGTGCCAATGGACGGCGGAAGGCGTACAGTCGGGGCCCTGAAGAAGGAACCCTTTTTGTTGGGGAGGGGCTCCGTGTTCCTTAGTTGCTTTACAGTGTTCCTTGGGTTTGCCTGAGGTTTTCCATGGAAAATCGGAGTTTAATGTATGGGAAAAAGGGGCCTCGTTCCTTATTTTTCGTTCCTTAGGTCAACGCCCCGACTTTATGGTGTTCTTCCTTTGGTTTTGGACGAGCTCGTGGTGCTCATCCACAAGGCCGATGGGTTGGGATTCTGGTCCGGGCCCATGGGCGCGGGCTCTCGGACCTCGGGCTCGGGCCGAGACCCGCGGCCGCTCCCGCAGCGAGCCCCGGAGCGGGAACCGAAGGAACGCGTGGCCCCCTCTTCCCCCTCCCCCTCCTCCTCCTCCTCCTCCTCCTCCTCCTCCTCCTCCTCCCTCCTCCTCCTCCTCCTCCTCCTCCTCCCCCTCCCCTCCTCCTCCTCCTCCCCTCCTCCTCCTCCTCCTCCTCCTCCTCCTCCTCCTCCTCCTCCTCCTCCTCTCTCCTCCTCCTCCTCCTCCTCCTCCTCCTCCTCCTCCCCCTCCTCCTCCTCCCTCCTCCTCCTCCTCCTCCTCCTCCTCCTCCTCTCCTCCTCCCCCCTCCCCCTCCTCGGAGGGGGCTCCTCCTCCTCTTTTTCCTCCCTCCTCCCCCTCCTCTCCCTCCTGCACCCCCTCCTCTTCCTCCTCCCCTCCTCCCCCCTCCTCCCTCCCTCCGCAGCTCAAAGAAGGAGAGGACAGAGGCGGGCCAGCAGGCAGCAGGGGCGAGACGGTATGTCCTCCGGCCAGCTCGACCCGGCGACCTCCAGGAACTAAGGGCGACCTCCTTTCCCCCCCCTCCTCTTTCCCTCCCCTCCTCTTTCCCTCCTCCATCTCCTCCTCGCGCGCCTGCTCGACAGGTGAACAACACCGGCACGAATCGGTTTACCCCCCCCCCTCCAACGTGCTGCGGCCGAGGGCGTGAGACGGTCCGCCGCTGGGACGGCGGTGTCCTCAGGCTTCGACGGTGGGTCGGGGGTTTGGCCACTGGTTCATCTGCCCCCGCTGGGCAGGGTGCAGATGCCCTGGTGGTCTCCTCCCTTCTTTCCCGTCTTAGCCTTCTGCGCTA